GAAGTATCTAATGCAATGTTTCGAAAAGATAAATGTGCAGAATTGATATATCTTCCAGAAGTAAGTTCCTGATTTATTTTTGAATCTCATTAAGCAAATATTTAATGGACTCAGCAAAGACAGTTCCTTCTTCGGTGGTGATTTCCAATATTTTATCTGATTTACCAATTAAATTAATTTTTAATATATTTGCCCTTAAGTTATAATTATTTAAAATCAAGAAATGGAAGACTCGTCATTCAGAGTAACAGGGGGACTGAAACTAAAAGGTGAATTGCAACCACAGGGTGCAAAAAATGAAGCCTTACAAATCTTAAGTGCAGTATTGCTTACAGATCAGGATGTGATCATCAACAATGTGCCGGATATAGTAGATGTCAATAAGCTGATAGATCTTTTAATAGGACTAGGTGTAAAGGTGGTAAAACTTTCAAAAGAGAGTTATCAATTTAATGCCGCAGATATAGACCTTGACTTTTTTGCTTCAGCCGAATATCAAAACAATGCAAAGAAAATAAGGGGATCAGTGATGCTACTAGGTCCATTATTGGCCAGATTTGGTAAGGCATATTTGCCAAAGCCGGGTGGTGACAAGATAGGAAGAAGAAGATTGGACACCCACTTCCATGGCTTCATGGAGCTTGGTGCAAAGTTTGTATACGATGAAGAAGACGATAAATTTTACATAGAAGGCAGCAACTTAAAAGGCAAGTACATACTGATGGATGAAATATCAGTAACCGGTACTGCCAATATATTGATGGCTGCAGTTCTTGCTGAAGGAAAGACTACTATTTATAATGCAGCCTGTGAACCATATCTGCAGCAATTGTGCAATATGCTGATAAGAATGGGGGCTAAGATCACAGGGGTTGGCTCCAATTTGCTTACCATAGAAGGAGTTGAGCGACTAGGTGGTACCACTCATACTGTGCTACCGGATATGATCGAGATAGGTAGTTTTATTGGACTTGCTGCCATGTGCCAATCGGAGATTACGATTAAAAATGCATCGATTCCCAACCTGGGAAATATTCCATCCGTTTTTCAGAAACTTGGTATTAAAATGGAATTCAGAGGAGATGATATATTTATTCCTGAGCAGGACTTGTATGAGATTGATACCTTTATCGATGGCTCTATCCTTACCATATACGATGCTCCTTGGCCGGGTTTTACACCTGACCTTATGAGCATAGTGTTGGTGACTGCTACGCAGGCAAGAGGTTCGATTTTGATACATCAAAAGATGTTTGAATCAAGATTGTTTTTCGTAGATAAG